TCTTGATTTAAATCTTCACAACTATGGGGCTTGCCAAATGTCAAATTCTGTCACCAAATTCCAGCTCCCACCTCTAGAGGTAAAGGCCCTGGTAAATTAACTTTACCAGGGTAAAGTTAATTATGGTTAAGTTGGTCACTTAAAAATGGCTTCCCCTCATCTTCAGAGAGTATTTCTATAGTGAGCAGCAGCATGAGCACCAGGGCCCAGGCACAAACCCCCGCAGCCCAGGTCCTGCAGGTCCCATGCTGCACAAGCACCAGGGCCCACGCACAAACCCATGAAGCCCAGGTCCTGCAGGTCCCACCCTGCATAGAGGGTTCTTTCTGGCTCAAAAAGAGCAGGAGTGTTGCCCACACTGGGAAAATGACATGAAGAGAAATCAACTCGAACACCCTGAGCGCTCCTTAAACAGCAGTCTGGCACTGCAGCCTTCCCTGTCCTTGGAGCGAATCTGGGCGCTTGTTATCTAAACGGCCATATAGCTCTTCCTCTGGGAGCATTAGTTCTGCCGTTCATGTCCTCCTACTGCGTTCTATTCTGTGTTTGCCACCAGAATCCCCTGCAGAGAAGCTCCAATGGCTGCCGCAAAGCAAAACAAAACGAACCCTGAAATTGGAGCGGGAAAGAAAACCGCATTAGTCCCCAAGGAGATGCTGGGTTGCCGCGGGTCTTCCTTAGCACCACCTGAACCACCGCCAGAAGGAAACACTTCCACCTGCCTCTGGCTGCAGAGCCTGACGCTGTTCATCTCAGCTGAATCTACTCTACCAAAAGCCCTCAAAGGCAGTTCATTTGTTATTTTATGTGCTGTTTATTATTTCTGCTGGCACACTGTTTACTCACAGGTAAGGTAGTCAGTTGATAAACTGGGTAAAGAACAAAAGGCAAAATCCAAATATGCAAGAGATGAGAGAAGGGGCAGCAAAAAACTACAGACCGTGTAGAAACAGTAGCACAACTGTGGACCCAAGTCCGTGCTGCCCTCCTTTGGGGCAATTCCCGAGTAGGGTTTGGCCCACATGGTGAAACCCCGTCTCTGCTAAAAATACAAAAATTAGCCAGGCATGGTAATGTGGGTCTGTAATCCCAGCTGTTTGGGAAGCTGAGGCAGGAGAATCACTTGAACCCGGGAGGCAGAGGTTGCAGGGAGCCCGAGATCACACTGTTGCACCCCAGCCTGGGCAACAAGAGCAAAACTCAGTCTCAGAAAAACAAAAAGGAAAGAAGGAAAAAGGCCTCCAAACCCTCTTTCAGCTCTGGGATGAGACGGCTCCTCTCTTGGCCAGAGGACAGTAGATGAAGTGGTACCGTCTAAGCCGTGAACGGCGTGGCAAAGAACATGGTGGTTGCTGGGCAGACTCTACAGCAGCCAGACGTGGCCCCCTCAAAGGGCGTGGTGCCCATCAGGGCTGTGGAGCCCTCCTGGGACCCACGCAGGTGCAATGTGAGCACGGGGCGTGGCCTCTGTGTCCCCTTTGCATCACTCTGAGGTCCAGAGTCTAGCCGGGAAGTAGAAATACACCAGCCATTTTAGCAGAGGAATGGAATACACAGGTCTGTTGGTCAGGGATTAGAGGACTGAGGAGGGGAAAGGGAGGCATGGCGGCGTTAAGGCAGAGATGGTCCTGAGGGAGGCAGCTGCCACCGCCAGGCTTTGAGAGTTCTGAAATCTAGACGGTCGGGGAGAGGCCCAGCGAAGTGCTGCTGAAACCTCCACGAAGGGGCATGTTGGGCTGGTGCCTGTCTCCAGGAGCTGGGAATGAGACCTGTTGGGGGAGAAGCTCTTCCGCCCCAAGAGCTTGAGGGTGGGTGCTCTGCTGAACTGGGTCTAAGGCCTCCAGGGCTGGTGCTGGCATCTTTGAGGAAGTACAGACAAGGATAAAGGCAAAAGAGAGGTCGGGTGCCGTGGCTCACGCCTGTAATCCCAGCTCTTTGGGAGGCCAAGGCAGGCGGATCACCTGAGGTCAGGAGTTTGAGACCAGCATGGCCAGCATAGTGAAACCCCGTCTCTACTAAAAATACAAAAATTAGCCAGACATAGTGGCCCACACCTGTAGCCCCAGCTACTCGGGAGGCTGGGGCGTGAGAATCACTTGAACCCAGGAGACAGAGGTTGCAATGAGCTAAGATCACACCACTGCACTCCAGCCTGGTGACAGAGCAAGACTCTGTCTCAAATAATAATCATAATAATGAAAGCAAGCTAGAACCACCTTCTCCTTCTGAGTACACACTTGCCACGGTGACGCCCGGTCTCACAGCCTCTCTCCAGTCCCCCACGGCACAGCCTGACAGGGAGGAGCTGGGAAAGCAGACGTGTCTGCAGGGGCTCAGCTCCATCCTTGCACAGCAGGGCATGTTTGTATAACCTAAAGATGGCATCAGGGAGGATCGCAAGCCCACTTTTATAGATCATGGAATGGGCAGCACAGCACACTTACCATGTACGCGTTCACGGAATGTATCATCACGGACTGCAAATAACAACTCTTCTGGTCAAGGATGGCCCGCATATACAACAGTGGTCCCATAAGGTTATGATGGAGCTGAAATCTCCCACCCCCTAGTGACGTCGTAGCCATGGTAATGTCATAGTACAATGCATTTTACTCACACAAATCTAAGATGAAAGAAAGAAACAAACCAAGCAAACCACTATGGATGTCCTTCTGAAAAGAGTATTATCTCCTCAAGAAGAGCCTCAGGCAGGTCCTTCAGGTGTCCAAAAGAAGGCACTGTTCTCATTGGAGCTGACAGCTCCATGCGTGTTCTGGCCCTGAAGGCCTTCCCGTGGGACAAGGTGTGGAGTTGGAAGACAGTGACCTTGATGATCCTGACCCTGTGTGGGCCTGGGTTAATGTGTGTCTTAGTTTTTAACAAAAAGTTTAAAATATAAAAAGATAAAGTTAAAACAATTTAAATAGGAAAAAAGCTTATAGAATCAGGATACAAAGAAAGAAAATACTTTTGTATAGCTGTATAATGTTTGTGTTTTAAGCTAAGTGTTATACAGAAAAGTCAAAAAGGTTTTTTAAACTAAAAAATGTATAAAGTTAGAAAAGTTACAGTAAGCTAAGGTTAATTTACTGTTAACAAAAAGGAAAATATTTTTTAGGAGTTTAGTGTAGGCCAGGCACAGTGGCTCACGCCTGTAATCCCAGCACTTTCGGAGGCTGAGGTAGGTGGATCACCTGAGGTCAGGAGTTCAAGACCAGCCTGGCCAACACGGTGAAACCCCATCTCCACTAAAAATACAAAAATTAGCTGGACATGATGGTGAGTGCCTGTAATCCCAGATATTTGGGAGGCTGAGACAGGAGAATCATTGGAACCCTGGAGGTGGAGGTTGCAGTTAGCCAAGATCATGCCATTGCACTCCATCCTGGGCGAAAAGAGAAAAACTCCCTCTCAGAATAAAAGAAGGGTTCACCTAGGGCTACCTCCACTGTAGCAAGTTCCATTCATGACAAGTGCCCTATGCAGGTGCACCATTTTAAATCATTTTTTACTGAACCTTTCCTACATTTAGATATGTTTATGTACACAAACCCATTACCATCATGTTACAATTGCCTATGGTATCCAGTACAGTAACAGGTTCACAGGTGTGCATCCTAGGAGCAGGAGGCTACACCGTACAGCCTGCGTGGATAGTGGGCTGTCCCCACTAGGTGTGGATAAGTGCACTCAGTGACGTTTGCACAGTGTTGAAATTGCCTAATGATGCATTTCTCAGCACATCCTCATGTTATGAGACTCTAAATGAATCTCAGCCCCTCCCCTTGTTAGCACCAGGGGCAGAGTTGCCATCTCCCTTACTTCCCATCTGACATCGCTCATCTGCCAGGAACTCCTTGTTAGGCTACTGGGATTGGTGCAGTATAGATCACGGTTAGCTCGTTCCTGATCTCTGGGGCAGATTTGGTCTGGGAAGCTGGCGCCACACAGAGGGTGACCTCCAGTCACCAAATATCACTAAGGAAAAGGACACTGTTCAAAAGATGTCCTGTGAAAGCTGGTGCTTCTGCAGCGTCTATGTGGGCTGTACTTGGTGTAGACGCCGGAGGGGAGGAAGCAGTTGTTTTAAGTCCCTGCCCTCCTCTGGCTCCTGCAAATCATTTTGTATAGGCCCCCTTTGGGGGCTGTTTCTTTGTTAAAGTACAGAGACCAAGAACTAGAGTTTGCAGCCAGGTCCTAGGGTTCCGATCCTGGCTCTAATTTACTAGCTGTTCATCTTGAATGAGTAATTTAATGTTTACAAGACTCAAATGACTTTTGTGTTAAATCTCCATAGTACCTCCAAGGGTTATGGTTAGGACCAAATACGTGTGGCTGTGAAGCGCATAGCACAGTGCCCTGCATGGGGTCAGGGCTTAATAAATGTTGATGATCATCTGCTTGGTTGTGGGGAAGCTGATTAAATTTGCTGCACACTGTGGTGCGTCTTCCTTGATTCCCTCCCCATGCTCGTGGAGCCTTGAGCCAGACCTCAGTGAACATGGCCGGCAGCTGGCCCAAGCTATTACAAAGGAGGCCATGGTAGAAGGGATCATGAGTTTCAAAGATACTCCTGATGGAAAGGCAGATCCCTTTCTGGAGGAGACAGAGGAAGATGGAAGGCCGGGTGCAGCTGGACCACAGCACCCAGGACATCCAGGAAAGAACTACCCGGGGCTGGTGGTCCTGACAGAGCCATTTTTATCAGTGGACAGTGGCCAGGCTGGACCTCCATCCTCCTGGAGCTGGCCCCTCCCCAGCACAGCGGGGACGGTGGACACTAATGTCCTGAGTGGGACCTCACGAAGGCAGGGAAGACAGCTGCAAACCACAGATGGCCCCAGCAAACCATCTGGGCCCAGCCCATGAGCAGTGCAAAAGCTCTCCTTTCCTGACACAGGACAGAGAGCTTTGAAAAGCCCACCTGCTCCCCTCCTCTGATCCCATTCCCTGGACACTAACCACATCCCTGCTTGGCAACCACTTTTCACTCAGCATCCGAGCTGTAGACTCAGTCCTTACTTTCTCTTTAACAGAAATGTGGCAGAGTGTTGTCTCTACAGCCTCTTTGGCTATGAGCAAGGAACTGTGAATCCAACAGCCAGCATAGAAGCAAACATGCTCCCCATGGGAAGAAGAAACAAAGAACAGGCTTTTATCAAGAATTAATCCCTACAACCTGGTTTGATGTCAATACGGACTCAGGAACATCTTCCACTAGACTTTCACCACCGTACAATGAAAATCTCAAACTCATCGTGGCCTCGAGAGGGCTAAGATCACTCATCAGGAGAGAATTATCTCCTTGGTACATTGTCTTTAGGCAGGAGAGCAGAGCTCTGCATTTTATTCAACATATTCTATAGAATCTGAAAGGAGGGCTTTGGCCTGGTTCACTTCAGTCACCCTGCAGAGAGGCCTTGCAGGAAACCCTGCAGCCTTCTCTAGGTGCACCATCTAACAATGGTGCTTGTTGCAATCTGGCATGGGAACGGGATTATAGTGATTTGAGCAATTTCTTCTGTTCATGATTCATATAAACTTCTAACCTGATAAAATATTAGCAGTCAAGCATAAACGAAAGTGTTTTACAAATATTTGATGTGCATACTTGACTTTGGCTCAAAGTCAATGAATGTCTGTATTTCTTAGCCGGGTATAAACAACTTTTGGTACTGAAATCGAAGCAAAATAATTCATTAATTGCCACTTCTTTCTTCTCATATATGGCATGTTTCCTAGATAGCATATGTAGAGTTTTGTATATAATGTATAAGTGACACCTGGGAGGTTTTAAATACATATTGAGTGATAAAAGCAATGAGACTTGCTCATCTTATGAAAACATGAGTAAAAACATCAGTTGGAGGTTGAATTAATATTATAATAGCATCGTTCTCCAACTAGGGTATGAAGAATCCTGGGAGCGTCAGGGAGTGTTTGAAGCCACCAGAAAAATGTAGCACATCTTCCTCAAACTTCACTTTATTGAAGAGTATGAACTTTTAAACAGTAAGTAAGACACGTGCGATTTATGGAGTAAAAGTTTTCATATGGATTTTCAGATAGAATAGACTTAAACTTTTACCCTCGATTCTAGTGTCGCCTCTCCAGACTCCTCCTGTTGGAATATTTCTTCTCTGCCATGGGGCACTTAATAAAGTTTTAAAAACCCTTCCCTTATTAAAACACTAGAAGGCAATAGCATGTGTTGTTCTCTCTGACTTCAAGTAATAACGGAGAAAGGTAACTTGAATAAGTGAGCAGCCTGTATTTTAAAATACTTGTGGGCTTAGCACTTCAAGTGATATATACAGAAGACAAGTCTAAGGATGTTTCTAAATAAATTCTTCAATTCCTATCACTAAATGTCTCAATGAATCTGCTTGAATGCATAAAGATCTGCATTTGGCATATTGTGGCTTGACAGGTATCTAACATGTATCTTCTCACATTCTTTTGATAAAGCCAGTATTTGCAATAAAGGCAAGACTAAACTTCAAGCCAAGATCACATATAAATTATCACAAATTTCCTGTTTGAACTCTCAATTGATATTATTTATTATATGCAATATATTGCATGAATTACAATAATTCAGAGATTATTATAATGTATAATTCTTTAATTCATGCATTTAAAGAGTCAGGGACATAGCAGACCACAGGCAGTTTTATTGCCTAGGATTTTTTTTTAATTTTTGTGTAATGGCACTGGCTTTACATGCTCACACGAATGCTGCCTCATCACTTAACTCCTCACCTCACCAAGTATGCTGCCCATTTGTAGAGGACTGAGGCTGCAGCTTAGCATTGTTCTTTTTCATTATTTACTCGTCTTGGCCTCCTAGCAGGCATTCACATGCCAACAAAAAATAGCAGTTAGCACATTCGTCAAAGAGGCCCCCAAAGTGCCCGTGTGTGGTGAATGTGCCTTCATAGTCACTGATCATGAAACGCTCAGCCTTATCGCAGCTGAGCTATAATCTCATGATCTGAGGACAAAGGTCTTTGCCTAGAAACACTTAAATGTATTCCACACACATGAAACCAGTAGCAAATAAGAAAGTTTAACAGACTGTGTGAAACCAGGAGACTTTTCTATTGGTTATAAACTGTTGCTTCAAAATGGAAGGAAGGAGTTGACCCTCAGGGCCTGTTTCATGTCAAGGGATTGCATTTTGGAGTAAACTAGCCAGCTAGAATGCCTGCCTCTTTCTTAGTTCTCTCTCTCTCTCTCTCTCTCTCTCTCTCTCTCTCTCTCTCTCTCTCTCTCTGTGTGTGTGTGTGTGTGTGTGTGTGTGTGTGTGTGTGTAGTTGCCACAAACAAAACCTTAAAGCTAATGTTCTCTGCCCTCATGGATAGGACTATGTAATTTAACATATTCGGAGACAGTGTTTTGTGGTCAACCCTTGGAGCATACCCCATTGGTATTAGGGTATGTGTGCTAGGACCACAGAGGGGAATATTTGAAATGGGGACGGTGCCAGAAAGCATGGAATCATGGTCTCCTACCCCAGATGTCTACATCATGACTTGTTCATTCTTTTCTATCCATTCTCAACCTGCCCATATTGTTTTACCTCCTCCTCCTTATCTGCCTTGTTTGACTTCTTTAGGACAACGTCGCTCACCATGCCAAGTGAATAAGGGGAGGAAAGGACACTTTATGGGCAAAGTCCATGGCTGTCAGCGCAGAGGAAGGGATAGTAGGCAAGTTAGATACATGATGTCATCAAAACTGCTGTGAGGGTTCATATTCCTACTGAGGAGGTGGAAAGGGCCAGTGCAGTTCTGAAGATGACCCTGGCGAATGGTGAGGATTCATCTCGCCACGTGGCTGTTGGGTGGGGATGGGAAATGGATGAACTGGGAATTCCACTGAATTATGGGAAGAAACTCCCTTTGATCCTAGTCCTCTCCCTCAGTGTTGCCTAGAAAAGAAGTTCTTGAAGGCGCTGTTGTAGTTCTTGTTGAAAGCCGTATAGATCAGGGGGTTAAAGAAGGAGTTGGAGTAGCCAAGCCACAGGAAGATGCTTTTCCAGATGGCGGGGATGTCACAGGAGCAGAGGGGACTGATGAGCTCCGTGAGAAAGAAGGGGATCCAGCAGAGTGCGAACACACCAATGAGGATGCCCACCATGAGGGCAGCCCGCTGCTCCTTCTGCTCACGCCATGTGTCCCCTTCTGTCTGGAAGGTGACAGTGGCATGGCGGACTGTGAACACCATCTGGGGCTGTTTGGCGGGGTCCTTCACCTGTAAAAGACAAGCAGGGGTTTTAGGAGGAGCCACCTCTGTCTACCTGCCAGGCTGAACCTAGACACTGACAAGCCTGGATTCCGCACATCCAGTTCCAGGGAAGGTCCCAACGGATAGGTGTGGGAGCCTGAAGGCCCGTGGCACACACCGTCAGACGTGGGAACCAGGCACTGGAGCTGGGGTGTTTGCTTATGTCTTAGAAATGAAAGAACCGGATGTGATGGAATTGACGTCATGAAAATGGGCTCCCTATTGCTGTCTATTCAACAGAGGCAGTGGCATAAACGAGCAGGTGACATGGCACGCATGACTTAGTGGCAGAGGTGCACTAAGTCATCAAAAGTGTGCTAGATTGTACGCTTACGACCACATTTCCTACCATCTTTATAACATTCTGGGCTCCTGTAAGTCCCCTCTATAATGTTAAAACTTTCTAGAACTTTTCCTCTGGCATAAAGATCCTACTGCTGTGCTCTGTAGCATATTCTGTGTGAGGCAGTCCAGTGGCCAGCACACTTCTCTCTGGGTCTATTCTGTATCTTCCTCTACGCCCCTATCTTTATGTAAAACAGAGACCTCAGTCTTTTAGAGCCTCTCCTTGGGTGCCCTCTAAAAGGGCAGGTTTCCACAGAATCAGGCCCTCCAGTTCACTTCCTTCTCTCAAGGAGTGGAATTCCTGGGAAAGGAAGCTCTTGCTCCATTCTGGTCCTATTTTTAGCTGTTGGGAGAAATGACATAATGAGTGTCTACTGATGAGGCAGCCTAAATATGAAGCAACTGTAAATTTACTACATTTGGAAATTACTCGATCCAATCAAAATGTGGGACAGCTTCTGAGTCAGCCATTCTCTGGCAGGTGAGATTGCATTGACATTAAATATATTCTTCCCCTCTCCACCATACTGTGACTCTAGTACACTTAAATGATTTACACAGCCTGTTCTGAAAGAGCATACTATCTTTTAGGCAAAGAACTTTCAGGTCAATCTAACTCACTTAACTCATTCTTGGCCGCATTTATAAAGTGGACTCAAAAGGAATTGACTTACTATCATATGGAATAGCAGGCAGAAATAGGAACACCGTGGTTAAGGCAATGTTACCTGATGAATAAATTACCAAATTTGTAGGATAGACTTGCTGATATTTATTTGCAAAACAGCATAACATCAAGTACTATACACTAAATTAAATTTAAAAGAAGATAATAAATAATAAAACAAATAGTCCATAATAAGGCAACCTTTAAAAACACATATAAAATAAGCACTGAAAATCTCTCTTTCTGTACCTCTTGAAGTAACTCTGTAACCAGAGTTACCTTTGGTTACTGATTTATCAATACATATCTGGAAATGCATTTGAAGGGATTCATTTATAGAAATCCAAACCATAATTACCTTAATTTTTCAGCATAAAAGAAAGAGGGAAAGCTACCGATTTCCTTAAGAGAATTCAACCCCATAGTAACATCATGGAAGCTGTTTTCCCTATTGTCCCCAAACGGCAATAAAACAAGAATCTAGCTGGACTCTTCAACCCTCTGAAAATTCTGCTTCTTCTTGGCACATTTTTATGAGTGACAATGGGGACACTGGTCATACTGGAGACACTGGTCACACTGTGGAGGCTGATCACACTGTGATCACATAAAGAATGCTGGTCACACTGGAGATGCTGGCTATACTGGAAACACCATGGATTCTGGTCATACTAGAGATGCTGGTCACACTGGGAATGCTGGTTACACAGAAGATGCTGTTCACACTGGAGATTCTGGTCACACTGGTGACACCATGGATGCTGATTACACTGTCGATGCTGGTCACATTGGAGACACCATGGATGCTGTTCACACTGTGGATGCTGGTCACAATGGAGATGCTGGTCACTCTGGAGACATCATGGATGTTGGTCACACTGTGGATGCTGGTCACACTGGAGATACCATGGATACTAGTCACACTGGAGATGCTGGTCACACAGGTAACACCATGAATACTGGTCACACTGGAGATGTTGGTCACACCGGAGACATCATTGATGCTGATTATACTGGAGATACTGGTCACATTGGAGACACCATGAATGCTGGTCATACTGGATATGCTGGTCATACTGGTGAACCCATGGAGGCTGTTCACACTGTCAATGCTGGTCACACTGGAGATACCATGGATACTGGTCACACTGGAGATGCCAGTCACACTGGAGACACCATGGATGCTGTTCACACTGTGGATGCTGTTCACACTGTCGATGGTGGTCACACTGTTGATGCTAGTCACACTGGAGATACCATGGATACTGGTCACACTGTGGATGCTGGTCACACTGGAGACATCATTGATGCTGGAGATGCTGGTTACACTGGAGACACCATGGGTGCTGGTCACACTGGTGATGATCACACTGGTGATGTCAGTGACACTTAGTGCTTGATTTAGACATTTTTCATAGTTTAGCCATAGAACTCCAAGTTGTTCAGAGAAGGATATTTTTCTATTACCTTGCGAAATGTTGATTATTTTACTGGGCCATCTTTGGTGCTGTATTCAGCATCAACTGGCTTGATAGAAGAAAGAGTGACATTGATTTAAAATGGTACCTCTGTGACTAATAAAGCCTCCAGCTGCTAGGAGGATCTTGGTTGCTTGTGGAGTTTCAGGTTTCTAATGCCCTCAAATGGTGAATTTGTTTGCTTACTCCATGGCTCTCTGATTTATGGACTCTTTAGCTCTTTGCTGTCTTCTAATCAATGGTTGCAATAAAGCAATTAATTAAGTCTGGAAAATAATGCTCTGTTAATTACTGCACCCAACCTGGTCATTAGTAAACTCACAGAAAGAGAGGAAATAGGGTTAAAAAGTGAACAGTTAAGCCAAATTAATTTTTCCTAATAATCTCTGAAATGCATGTAAAGCACATACCTCAAAATTTAAGATTCATTTATAAATTTTTTTCTAAATGAACACTTAGCCTCATCTCCCTCAGCAAACAAGTTCTTTGGGGACAGGTACATATGTGTTAGAGCTTTCATTCTTCCAAAATGATTGTGTGCTAAATAATTATTTACCGGTTAATCATAAATATGATATGTTCTTTTATTTCATCCAACCACTCTGCTTTGCCTCTTTAATAATGTCGTAGATAATCAATGGATTACCGTCAATAATGGGTATTGGAATTAAGGGACAAAGACTCCTACCTTGGAAGTGTGGTTTCAGGTGATTTGCAAGTTAGACCACAGAATAAAAATGTTTGATTAAAAATGGTCTTACACATTAAGGAAGGCTCCATGAGGGTGTGAATAAAAATGGCCCCACAAACTTAGGACAAAACTAATTGTTCTATAACTGTAATAACAAACAAACTTTTTTTCTTGTTTAAACCTCTTCAATTGATCAAGGACAATGAAGTTTTGTGAATATGCACTTGTAAACCAATTAATCCGTGTCAGCCCTCACTTCTGAAAGTCAGCCATTCAGGGTCAGACTCAACCTAATAAACACACCTCTGAGCATCAGTCATCCAACAGAAAACCCCATTCTGCAGCTGATGTCAGTCTGCTGCTCCTCAAGTGTCCCCCAGTGTCTGAACCCACACCACCCCAAATCATGGATGACTGGCACCCAGCTCTGCTCTGGGATATTGCTGTCAAGCATTGCTTCCTCTCACTATTCTGAGTGAAAGATTCAGCTTTGTCTATTTCAGATTCTGAACAGTAGTGGCATCACCCATGGACAGTTCTGGAGGTTCCACTGAGGTCATTTTGAAGACTCCCTGGGATCCTTGGACCACAAGCACATTCACTGGGCCCCACACTCAGCTGTCCTTTGCATCTGCAGCCAAGTGCATCAATCTCAACAAGGATTTGAGTTCCGCCTCATTTCACTGGGCTCTTAATGCTCAATGTATTTTGTTATCCTAAGATTTGTGACCAGCTATGTCCTGGATAAGGTCGCAAGGCTGAGGTGTTTGTATCATGTAACTAGATCTTTGATTGAGAGATCTACCATTAGGTAATTGTCTGAGATCTATGTTTAAAGCTTTCAATCTCTTGCCATGAAGGTGTATCATTTGGCAAATATTGTCATGCCATTATTCTACTTATCCTACGGCCGCTTGCTTTGCTGTTGTGTTGTCTACATGTACAAAGCCTTGCTGCATGGGTTTTTGTTTTGTCCTGCAATGCCTTCTTCTGTTGAATACAGAAGGAACTATTCTGTAAGGCATTGGCTTGTTAAGTTTCCAATCTAATCCAAGCAGGACCTGAGCGCTAATGATTTGCAGACCATTATTAGGCCAGTGACCAATTTATGAAAAAGCAATTGATCAAACTTTGCTTGTGGTCCCCTACAAAACTTTTATGAGGGCACTCCTGACTTGTCGAGTGGTGAAAATACATCACTTGGCTCCATCGTTTTCCAGCTTAATGACAGTTGTGTGGACAATCGTGTGTCCCCTTCTGCCATCTGTTTAGTCCAGGACCCTGAGACACTATTCACAAGCACAAACTGTCGGCCAACCACAGTCACCTCCTTCTCGTGTTCTCCTGTGCCATGGCTTGCCCGTGTCAAAATCCCAATCTTCTTTTTTAAGAACTATTTCCTCTTTAAAATTGCATTATGACCCTAACCCTTGCACTTTTCTTCCACAAATGCCAAACTTTTTTTTACTTAATGAGAAACATCTGATGAATCAAAAATTAATAAGTTATTTAAGAGAAGCTCTAGAAAAATTAGGAGACAAACATCAAATAGCTAAAATTCAGCCTCTTTAATTGGTATTTTGAGGCTTTAAAACAAAATTCTAACTCTGAAATAGTACCAAAGATTTTGTAACCTTCAGAAACCTACCATCTTTGCATATCTCTATCCTGTATTTTTCTATTCAGCTTTATCTGACCTTCTAAATGAATCAGGTTCTTCTCAGGAAAAACACAATCACATTATAAAATTACCAGAAGAAAAATCATATTTATAGAATTTAAATTA